AAAAAAAAAAAAAAAAAAAAAAAAAAAAAAAGAATAAGAATTCAAGGAAATATGGCAGTTTTGGCATAAAAATTGCTAAAATTTGCTGAAAATGACATCACCCATTAACCATGAGTGAGGTAGGGTCAAGGGGCAGTTCACTCTACTGACCCAGAAAGCTGCAGGCTCTGAAGAGTCTGAACTCAGTTCAACTCACTTGAAAAGTGTCCCTTCTCCTCTCCCGATGGTGATTATCATGCTACTACTTAACGGTTCCTCCACTGACTTACTCCCCATCCACCAAGAAAGGGAGCATAAGCAGAGAGTGTTGACGAGAGAGAGAGAGAGAGAGAGTCGTTTACGTCCCTTAGTACATGAACAATTCAGAACCAGAGTCACCACGTCAGCCTTCAGGCTCTGACTTAGAACGGCCTCACCTCTGCAAGCAGTAGGCCTGAGTGCAGAAGGCAGTGGATAGCCACCCCTCTTCACCTGAATGGAATGCCCGACCATTAAAAGTTGTGTTTTGAGGAAATTTCAGACTATCCATACAGCGCTAAATACCGGCTGTTCTTGGAAGCTACTTCAACGCACGTCCTGCATTGAACCTTTCAAGGCGTTTTGAAAATGCGGGGAAACTGCGTTGAACCCCCTGTTTATTGCGCTTCACCGCCACCCGGGAATTTTTTTTTTTGCAGGCAAAAAATGAGCAAAGAACAAATCGAAAAATATAGGGTTGTAGATCTTTTCAATAGCTACAACCTGGTATTTTTCATTTTATTTTTTGCACATCTATTATATTTTTTTTTAAATCCAAAATCATACGAAGAAAGAAAAATCAAAAGAAAAGATGAAATGGGTGGGTTTTACCTTTTCTTCACAGAGATGTTTTTTGCGGGCAAAGAGTAAGCAGAAAACAAATAAAAAAAGTAGGGTTGTAGATCTTTTGCAGAGCTACAACTCCTCGTTTTTTATTGGATTTTTATAGACTTTATATGTATTAAAAATTTAAAAAACATAAATGCCAAACACACACACACACACACACACCCTCACACACACAAATACACACACAAACACACGCCCACACACACACACATGAACACACAGAGACGCACACATGGGCGCATACACACACAACACACACACATAGGGGGGTTCGCGCTGGGGGGGTCTTGCTCTCCCCAAATGCCAAACACACACACACACACACAGACACCCTCACACACACAAATA